AAATTGGCGGACATATTGGATTTTTAATTTTTTTGTACTTTTCTTTGAAAAATTTATATCTCTGCTTCTTCTTAACGGATTTTAGTTTATGACCTCTTAAATTGTTCGTATTGAAATATGCTTTTATTTAAAAAATTAAAATTAAAAAAATTATTTAAATTTTTTGTTTAAAAAATTAATTTAATTTTTTGAAAAGCCATAGAAAAAATATGCTACCTTCAATTTTGATCATTTTTTTACCATTTGTAGCCATAAATGTGTTGAACTTGTCCTGAAATTTTCATTGTGGGACAGCCAGTAGTTTTTGAGAAAAAAAATAAAACGTAAATCCTCGCATAGCGCTGTAGCGCTCAGTTTTAATGCCGCACGATTGTAAATGAAATTTTAATGAAAGTACGAGTTTTTATTAACCCTAGAACTAAAATATGATTTTTTTATAGACTAACGAAAAACTGGGGTGGTTTGGTACCCCAGATTTGAAACAATTGTAAAAGGTTACCTTTTTTGTAATTTTTTTAATTTGTCAACAATGTGGCTAATTTGAAAAAATTAAACGGATTTTAAAAGGTAAATAAAGAAAAACTGTAAGACCTCGGAAACTCCCCCGTAAAAAATAGGAACCTGCTTTGTAATAAATGATTTTTATTCTACTTCAAAATCATTTAACATTTGTATATATTGTAAATAATATTTAAATTTTCAAGTTGCCTTAATCAAAATAAAATTGTCTCTATTTACCTTTGTAAATCCGTTTAATTTTTTCAAATTAGCCACATTGTTGACAAATTAAAAAAATTACAAAAAAGGTAACCTTTTACAATTGTTTCAAATCTGGGGTACCAAGCCACCTCAGTTTTTCGTTAGTCTATAAAAAAATCATATTTTAGTTCTAGGGTTAATAAAAACTCGTACTTTCATTAAAATTCCATTTACAATCGTGCGGCATTAAAACTGAGCGCTACAGCGCTATGCGAGGATTTACGTTTTATTTTTTTTCTCAAAAACTACTGGCTGTCCCACGATGAAAATTTCAGGACAAGTTCAACACATTTATGGCTACAAATGGTAAAAAAATGATCAAAATTGAAGGTAGCATATTTTTTCTATGGCTTTTCAAAAAATTAAATTAATTTTTTAAACAAAAAATTTAAATAATTTTTTTAATTTTAATTTTTTAAATAAAAGCATATTTCAATACGAACAATTTAAGAGGTCATAAACTAAAATCCGTTAAGAAGAAGCAGAGATATATATTTTTCAAAAAAAGTACAAAAAATTAAAAATCCAATATGTCCGCCAATTTTTGGAATTTTTTAAAATCGCTTGGGGATTTTATTTATTACCACCAGAGGATATAATCTACCCAATTTCAACCGAATCCCAAAACCTAATAAAATTTTTTGTGTTGAACTGACGTGGAATACACCAGCCATTAAAACTGGCACTTTGCTTATTTTCACGATTTTAAAATGTAAATAACTTCTGCCCAGAAAAATATAAAATTACGAAAATTGGTCAATAATTAATTGATTACTAAAATTGGGGACTAAGAGCTGTAAAATTTGAACAAAGAATGAGAAATATGAGCAACAATATAGGTTAGTCAAAAAATGTTGGGACGCTTTAAAAGAAAAAGGTTGGGATACACTGTACGGGATTGAGAGGAGGAAATATTATAATAGGAATGGTTTGGGATTGGAAGAAGTAGAGACACTAATGTATAGAAATTGTGATATTACACGGAGAGACCGAGATTACTAATTTTTGTATAAAATCACACTAGAATTTACTATTTTCACATTGCAACCACCGGAAATAAGGGGACTTTTTGTATTTTTTACTATTTTCTACACTAAGTCACTAATCCCGACAAATGTTCACCAAATTAGCAAAGTTTCTTACTATTTCGTCCAATAGTTCCAAATAACTGTAGTAAACTCAGAAGCATTGTGTACGTAAAATTACTACAGTCGTTTGTAAATGCAGAAAGAAAGAGTGAAAGAAAAAATACGGATTTTTGTCGCCGGTTTCCCGTCAATTCTTGACTAATGGAGACAAACTGGAAGGATTTTTACATACACAGACACACACACACTTATATATTTGTTGTATAAATATTTGAAGACACACACATGTTTATTTCACTTATATGTATAGACGCGGTTAATTAATACACAAATACACAACTGCACGCACGACAACGAATTTCACTGAAAGTATACATCTTTGTTTCCTTATATATTGAATGATGAAAATTTACAGCACTTACGAGAAAGCAATTTACTTTTAACAACTTATTATAAGACATAGTTCTTGGGACAGGAATAAATGCAAAGTTTATTAATTTATAATGGTCAATTTCTGAGATACCGAACGACCTACGTTTCACTTTATATTTAATTATTGTAGATAATATCCAAATTTATTTTACATACGCGAAACATAGTCACTGTCAATGATCGGATGGCATCGGCTCATTTACGGAGATTGACGAAGTTAGCAACCAATAGAAATGCAGGCGCCATATGACTGCACTCGCTAGCCACACTTGCTCACCAAAAATTACTACAGTGGATCGTAGGTTTTAGTGGAAAATGTTTTCATTTGTCAGATTTTGTCTAATTAAATTAGAGAAAACTATAATCAATTTTTGCTACATTTACAACTCTTACACAAAATATTAAAACTTGCTATTTCAATGTAGCAAATTTATCTATTTCTTTTGTAAATTTATCTAATTCTGTAGCACATTATGCTAAAAGTCCCCTTATTTCTGGTCATTGCAACCATTTTTAGTAATTTTTACGAATGTGGGTCTCTCCGTGTAGCTATAGGATTAGAAAAACCGAACGTGATGTGCAAAGACAAATAGAAGAGAGTAGAATTGATGCTTCAAAATTTAAACATAGGTATAAAGTTATTAAAGAAAACACAGAAAGGCTAAAGTATTTACTTGATATTAAAAGTGGAGAAGATTTGAGTTTGATTGCTAAATTAACATGTGGGAATTTTGAAGAATTTAGAAAATATTAGTTGGATGACGACAAAAGAAAGTGTAAATTTTGTCAAAAAGGATGGGACAGTTTAGAGCACTATGTGCAAATTTGCGATATAACAAAAGATTGGTTTGAGGATTTAGGAGATAGTGATGAGAAAAGACTGTACCTATTAACAGATTGTAAAAATGATAATATAAAAGTTTGGATAGCAAAAAGTTATGGAAGAAAAAAGAGAAAATTATAATAGGTTATAAAATGAATGGTGATAAGAGTATGTGTGTAAAATGATATAGAAATGTATACCAAGTCCACTTCCGGGCTAAAAGGCTGAAGTTATAATCAATAATTATTTGATCACTAAATACACTCACTGGAAAAAGATTTTCTTTGGTCCCGAAGCTATTTTCCGAAATAATTAATTTTAAACTTTTCACTATTTCTATCAGGTTAATACATGTGATTTTTTTAAAACTGAAGTTGGTTCAAAACGATTAAACAAGAAGAGCTAACTTCGTCCTTTAAAAAACACATGTATTAACCTGACAAAAATAGTAAAAAGTTTAAAGTTAATTAATTCGGAAAATAGCTTCGGGACCAAAGAAAATCTTTTTCCAGTGAGTGTATCTAGTAATCAATTAATTATTGCCCAATTTTCGTAATTTTTTATTTTTCTGGGAAGAAGTTATTTACATTTTAAAATAGTGAAAATAAGCAAAGTGCCAGTTTTAATTGCTTATTTTTTACAACATTTGTGAAGAAAAAAGGAGAAAAGTGATAAGAAAAACTAAAAGTTAATCACAAGTACTTTACATTTCATAAGGTTTTATTCAATTTAATGATTTCTCTTTCTCACATTTAGTGAATGAAATTTGCAAAAATAGGTTATTTGCTAGGTGAACTTTAAAATCATTTTTTATTTAATATTTCTTATTAATAATTGTTTCTACCAATTTATAATAATAAAATAATTCATTCTTAATAAATTCTGATAATTTTTTTTACGTTTTTATAGTAAATTATGTGTTTTCTTTAATATATTCTAATAGATGAAAATCTGACAGTTTTTACGACTTCATATACTTTAGATGTTTATTTTACAATAAATATAAAAAATATTCAAAAAATTTCGTTTTGTTCGGTGATCCTAATATCTTTAAAATCATTCCTGCAAAATATTACAATATTTTAAAATTAGTCGGCAACGACTTTAGTCGAAATATAATAAAATGACTCATAATATTTTGTAAAAGAAATTACAATGAATTGATAAAATTATATTGCACAACTGTTTAAATATAAGCATCATATGGACTTTTAAAAATTAAATTAACTCTTTTTTTAAATCAACGTGAATTAAGACTATGTTGGACAAACAATTGAATAGACACCATAGCACAAGTTTTTGAATTAACGCTTTATTGCACTGGCGTTCGAATAATCACTATATTGACGGGGGGCGTCGAAATTCATAGAACATTTATTGAGAATTTTCCTTGACTAGAAAATATAACTTATCAAATCAAATATAATGCTATTCATCGGTTTTATATAAATTAGAGAAAATCCAGAATATAATTTTCAAAAATTTGTAAAGAATTAATAAAAATAATAATTTATATAAATTCTAATTTAAAGCAAAGAAAAAATATAGTACTTTTTAATTAATCACTTTATTTAATTATAATTTTTCAATTACAAATTACAGTATTAAGTAATTATAGAAAAAAGCCTCAGATTATTACCAAAAATTTAATTAACTATTTTAATAAATATTAATCACTGTCAAAAAATTCCCAAGTAATATTTGTAAACAATTTCTAGAAACAATTTAACAATAATCTCAATTAATATTAAAAGATTTTCTTTAATATTCTCTGTAAATTAGAGTGTCAACTCCAACGAATTTACAAATTCGTTTTTCTTTGATTGTATTTTATTACCTTAAATGCAAATGTGACATGGTAAAATTTATTTTTTTGATTTCTATATTTAATTTTGCAGGATGAAGACAAATGTAAGGAAAACTTTGGTTCCAGTTTAGAATTGTCGTTTGAGTATCTCATTTCTAAAAATCATTTGCAATGGATTAGAATTTCTTCTGAACAGTCAATTTTAATGTCTCTATGCTTACAGTCCATGATTGAGGAGTTGATATTAAAAAATGCAGATGATTGTGAACCTCAGGTATGTTTACACTTTTTGCAAATATAAATAAATGTAATATTGCTTTCAATCAAACTTGACTTTTTTACATTTGTTTACATTTTGTGACCTCAGGAATTAAAAATTCACATTTTTTAAACATGTTACTCTGTGTGTGTTAGTTTGTGTGTTTAAACATCAAATTTTTATACATATGGTGCCCCATATGTAAAAAAAATTTTCCAGGCCAAATCGGAAATTATTTTGCTTTTGCATCTTAAATTTTTTTTAAACATTTTTTTTCTTTTAGTAGGTACTCTTTGAAATGAGCTACCTTGATTTTTTCAAATTTTTTCATAAAAGGAGATACAAATTTTTGAAAACTGACGTTTTTTACGTAAATTTTTGTTTTAAATGCTTATAACTCGGTCAAAAATTGATCAAATTGGACGTTATTATAATGAAAAGTTTTGTTTTCACGCGTAGTTTTTAATAAAAATATTTTTAAAAAAATTTACGATAAGATTTTAAAATTTTTTAAATAAAATTTCATTTTTAACACTGTATGTATCGATCAATTTTTTCAACATTTTTTGTAAGAAACTAGCACTAAATTAACAATTTTTAAGCCTTGTCCGATCGTGGGCAAACGATGGGATCTATTTATTTAAAAAATTTTAATTTTTATATACACAGTGAAAACGGTAGGCCTAACTTGTCATTTGACCAAATCACAATTTTACACAGAAAGAAGGTTAAGTTTGGAGATACTTAGTCTGAAAACAGATTTGCTGTGAAAAATTTGTGTGATTTTGTCAAATGACAAGTTAGTCATTGTCAACCACTGCGTATATAAAAATTAAAATTTTTTCAATAAATAGATCCCATCGTTTGCCCACGATCGAACAAGGTTTAAACATAATTAATTTAGTGCTAGTTTCTCACAAAAAATTTTGAAAAAATTGATCGATACATACATTGTTAAAAATGAAATTTTATTTTAAAAATTTTAAAATCTTATCGTAAATTATTTTAATTTTTTAAAAAAATATTTTTATTAAAAACTACGCGTGAAAACAAAACTTTTCATTATAATAACGTCCAATTTAATCAATTTTTGACCGAGTTATAAGCATTTAAACAAAAATTTACGTAAAAAATCTGTCCGCGCAAGCGCGGACACATTCTCATCCGCGCTTCGCGCGGGGGCTCGCAAGTTTCAGCGCGCCTCGGGGCGCGCGAATATTGATCGTCGCGCTCCGGCGATTATTCCACACGTCGCGCTTCGCGCTCCGTGTGTTGTTGCGCGCAAATGGCTCGCTTCGCTCGCCGGGGTCTGCAATTGTTGTGCATTATTTATGTTCTTATTTCCTATTATATGTTTCATAAAACAGTTTTTTTTTCTTAAAGTTACTACGACTTTAAGGATTACATTCTCATCACATGTTTTTGTTTGCTGATGATTGCGAGATAAAGTGGATTTAAATGTATATTTTTGGTCTTGATGATTTAAATTGTGAAGTTATTTTTAATTATACTAACTCTTAGTAGAAATATTATTTGCAGAAGCAGATAAAATATTCTTAAAGTATTAGTATCAAGGTTTTTGTGTAGTGTAGACCGGAGCGTAATGGCTAACTTTTCACTCTTTGTTGATTTACACGGACATTTTTGTTTTAATTAAGTGTTTATCACCTAGAAAAGTTACTCTAGTACCTCAGCTTTCTTTTAAAAAGTCGAACGTCCCTATATTACGCTTACTTTTTTTCTACAATGAACGTACACTTCGTCGGTATCGTAGGTATTGCTCTTTCCCGTGTAGAAATTTGTCGTGGCCTTCCTAGAAATAGACTACAGCTAGATAGCATTTGTCGTGGAAAATTATTCTGAATAAACTGTCCTGGCCCCGAAATGTTAATGTACAGTTTTCCCCTTTATTTTCTTCGCTATGAAGACAGTCTAGAATCTGGCTAAAATTTGTCTAGGATACTGAATTGAAAATTCAGTACAAGTTTGTATAGCAGGTTGTCCAAGAATTAGCTGGGCACTGTCTAGGACGCTGACTTAAGAATTTAGTACAAGTTCGTGGAGAAGGTGGCTCTGAGAGTCTACTAAGCTAGCAGACGAAATCAGTTCTTGACGTAGTGCTTGATGAAAAGAAACCAAGAGTCTACAATTGTAACTTATCTTGTTGTGAAGATAAAATCAAATTTATAAATCTAGTGAAAAGTTTTCAGTTTTCCATTTTTGAACAGGGACAGTGTACAAGTTTAAATATATTACAGCGAAAAAAAGATTTATTAGAAAAAGGACATGTGATGTCATCATTAATAGTCTAGATTGTTTTTCATATTATAATGTTCATAATAAGTAATAAAACTTTGGTAATTTTAAGTAAATTTTTTGTGATTGCAACAATATAATATACAATTAATTTTATTATCGGTATACAAGTACGAATCTTTATAGTGAATGTGTTTGTGTTTTAAAGAAAAAATCCAATGTAGCAAAATATGTTACAATTAATTTCAAAAATAATTGTAAGAGGAATTGTGATAATAACAAATACTTTTGTATTACTGTTTTGTTTGTTTAAAAGTTAAACAAACAAAAGAGTAAAGTTGAAAAATATTGTTCTATTATTTATAAACCTAACAATTATTCCCAGTATGTAGAAACTGCTTATTTTAATATCCAGGAACTGGCTAGGAATGATTTATTTTACTAGACAAGGACTAGACAAAATAACTGTACAAAATCTTGACGTTGCTAGTGTTACATCCCTCGTTCAAGCCTGTCCATTTTTAGGGTTCCGTACACCTACGGTGTATCGGCGGAACCCTATTGGTGAGACTCTGTTGTCCGTAGCCAAATCGTGTCCCCCCCCTAGCGGCTAAACTATTTGACCTAAAGAGCTCAAATTTGGTACAGATATGTATTTTCACACGTAGATTACAGGAAAAATATTGAGAATGTGTTTGGAGATGATGGTCATAGCGTTGTCAAGGAAATAACAAGATTTTTGGCCAAAAATGCATAAAAAGTGACCATTCCCCCCCTTAACTTCTAAACTATTCGACATGGAGAGCTGAAATTTTGCATGCTGGTGTATTTTTACTCGAATATTACAGGAAAAATATAGAGAACTTGATATGTAATGATGGCCATAGCGTTGTCAAGGAAAAACTAAAAAATTTAAAAAAAAAATTTTTTTTTCCCTAACTTTTACATTATTTGACCTAATGAGCTGAAAATTGGTATCCTAGTGTATTATTACAGTCTGACGACAAAAAATTTATTTAAGAAACTTTTTGAAGAAAAATAAAAAAAAAATTTTTTAATTTTTTTTTTCAAAAAAAAAAATTTTTTTAAATTTTTTTTAGTTTAAACACGTGGCATTAAATATTTTAAGGAAGAGAGTGAAATTTTAAGAGAATAAATGAGAGGTTGTTTTCTGACTTTAATTTCTTAACTAAAAATAAAAAAAAAATTGGACAAGTGCGAGTTGTACTCGCACTGCAATGGCGGGTTCCGCACACAAATATTAAAACAATACTTGTAACATTGATCGGTAATTGGTAGAATTAAAATAAACAATTATAAAAATATATTAAAATCATTTGATAAAAAAAAATAACTAAAAAAAATTAAAGTATTGTATATATCTAATATTGTAAACAGTAATAAGCAGAGGAACAAAATTTTCAAAATTTATTATAGTTCCTCTGCTTATTATTGTTTACAATATTAGATATACAATACTTTAACTTTTTTTAGTTATTTTTTTTATCAAATGATTTTAATATATTTTTATAATTGTTTATTTTAATTCTACCAATTACCGATCAATGTTACAAGTATTGTTTTAATATTTGTGTGCGGAACCCGCCATTGCAGTGCGAGTACAACTCGCACTTGTCCAATTTTTTTCCCATCTAGTTGCTAGATTGAATCTAGCGCAACTGGACAGTTTCTCATACACTTCCACGGTAAATTTCTACACGGGTTATACATAGCGTGTTGCATTAGCCAACACGCCCTAGGGGTACTTAGGAAATATTTTGTAATTTTTATCAATACAGTAAGTGTGAATCAAAAATCTAAAATTGACCCTCAAAAAATGTTTCAAGCTTAAAACGCGATTTTAGTTTCTTTTTTAAAGTTATTTTAAAAAAATTAGAATGAAAAAATGAAAATTTTGAAAAGTTACTTTCATATGTGAAATACAGATTTTCTACTATATTTCTTACAATAGTTATTGAATAATAAATAATCAACCTTTGTAGAAACTTGCAGTACATCAAGTTGTCTTAGGAGTGAAATCATTTCGATTTACGATTTTTAAATAAATTACAATTATTCATTACGCCCCTTAGCCATTATGTCCCGTTTTCCCTATATACGTGATTTGTAAATATATATCAAGTGTATGATTAAAAACATGTAAATTTGGATACAGTGAATGTGATATTTACCCATCGTTTTAACAAGCAAAAGTAAAACACCTCCACTAAGCTGAGACAAAAAGTCAAAAATTCGAAAAAAGTTTTTGAAAAAATTAAGTTTTTCAAAAGTTATCGTCGGACAGACAGACAGACAGACGTAATCGACAGACCATGTTTCTTGGATTCAGGGCACCTCAAAACGCAAAGATTTCATAAAATTAACAAATAGTATATTAAGCAACAAGGTACCGTAAAGGCAGCCTTTAAGTCCCGTGTAACTTACGATATTTTTTATTCCAAAGGCAAAAAAGTGGCGATTTAAGATAGCAGACGACAGGGTGTAAAACTCATTCACTTGTTCGACTTCTATGAAAATGGCGGCATTTTTTTTTCATGAGCAAAAATAACGCATGGGACTAGCTGTTTTTTTTGTCCATGGGAAAAAAAGGTCGCCATTTTCATTCAACCTGAGGTATAAAAAGTCAATTTTTCATCAAATCTAATACCTCCTCATGTGATTAGAATGTAAAAAACCATTTCCAACAAGATAGGACCAAAAATTAAAATGTAAAAAAGGGTCAGACCAGCCAAACTGCA